GGACCAGTCTCTGAAACCCCGCAGCCGATGCCTGCGTTTGCATTGAGCCACGTCAGGTGCAGACACGAGACCAAGTGCAGCCTTGGCAGCTCTGCTGGCTGGGGGCCTTAGCTGGAAGTAGGTTTATTTTTCATATTCCCAAAATCTTGATAGGCAGCAGCAGAAGGAAGTCTTGGCAGTAAGCTCCGAGCTCTACTAGGCCCGGGACCGGGAGATGTTGCTGCTACTAACTCTTGCACATCATGCAGGATTGCATGTTCAACAGGATGTGCAACGAGTGAGCTCGCGCTGGAGAGGCTTCGCACATGCTTCAGGAGGATATGCTTGTGGGTCGTCACAAGTAGCATTGCCAAATGCGGCCGCCAAGTGTAGCATTTTGGCGCCTGTGAACAGAGAAAGAGCTTCTAATCGCTCGCACAGTAGCCTCGTCAGACCGTACCGCTTTACCCGGATTCTCACGTTCTCTCCATCGAACCATGGACTCTTTTGCGCTATGTATCCTGCAGTTTAGATGCGACGTGCTGCAGCTTGAGTTTCTGCGTGTTCCTGCCAAAGAGCCTTGGAGCCGGATTGAACAGGCTGGTGCTGCTCCTGGCCGGCATTCGCCGTCGTCCATCTGCCAGCGGCAGTTCAGGATGGTGACTGCTTGGCAGTGGTTGGCCAGGGTTGGGTCCCTGCCTTGCAAAGCCAGGACATTGGATTACAAGCTGGTACGATGCACGAGGCTTAAGCATCCCTCAGGCGTCATAGAAACCGCCAACAAGTGCAAGCCAGGACATTGGCTGAAGTTGCAGGGCTGCAGTGACAAGATTTTCTCAGGCGCTTTTGGCATCCTTGCGTCGACTGCAGGGGCATGCCAGGCCTTGCCCAGCATCCTGCAAACACGAAAACTGCATGACTTTAGAAGTATCCGCGCTCCCGGAGGCTGCAGGTTCTCCAAGCTGCATCTGAGGCGCGGCTATGCATTGGTAGCCAGTTTGTTGAACCTGGGTGTCAGCCTCTTCTCCTGATGGGTTTACATCAGGTTGCCGACAGCTTTGAGAGGCCTGGAGACGCATCAGCTAGTGTTAGATGCGTGTGCTGCGCGACAGCTCTCCGAATTTCAGGGAAACTTGTAGAAAACAGTGTTTACATTGTTCAGACTCAGTGAGCAAGCCATGATGAGGAAGATGCGTTGTATTCTGAAGATAGGCTGCAAGCTGTGGGGCTTTAAAGTGGGTTCTCTAGCAGCAACATCTGGTCCTAAGCAGCTGCCAGCTCTTGCACAGGTGGCCCCTGGCTCTCTGCGCTGAAGAGCATGAGTTCACAAAGACCCTGTCTGTGGCCAGATGCTTGGTTTGCGGGTCGTATATTGCGTGGTAGCACTTGCCACAAGAATCTTCCACAGCGAGCCCCGGGAGCCCCAGAAGGCTTTCGGCAGCAGCCGTGAAGCCTTCCTGGCCCTGTGGCTGTGGCCTCAGTGCTTGTACTTGAGCTGCGCAGCAGCAAAGGTGTCAGGTGAAAGGGGCTAGGCGGTTCTTGGGTACTTGCATTGTACTTGCACAAGTGTTTATTTGTGGAAAAAATCATTGGGGCATACCGTCTTTTCTGGCTGCTACCAGGATGCGGCCGGAAGATTCAATTGCGACAGGCGTCAGCTGCACGGCACACGCCGTCTTCAACTGCTCTTCGCACATCATCCAAGGCTGCAGCAACGGTGTTGAGTATCAGATATTCCTACGGTGACTGCACATGGCACTTCATTCATACTAAGCATAAACGCAACTATGAACTGTGATAGATTGTGTGGCCGACTCTAGCCTTGAAGCCTAGGGTTTAAGGTCCCCCCCCAACAATTCTTGACCCTAAGGCGCTGCATCGGTCATGATTCACAAGAAATTCTCATCTGCCTAGCACGTGATCGCGTTTGCCAAGCCAAGGGAGGCTCAGGCGAAGTCGAACAAAAGTCAAGACGCATTAAGCGTACGTCCTATACTCCTGTACCCTTCCTGGAGAAGTACCCGAGACGTACACAACAAGCAGGCCATGCGAGTACAAGCATGCGGGCATGGTCACGTAGTGCCATTCGTTGCCTTGACCTCTCCTCGGGGTCAAGGTTCTTTCTGCGTACGCCCATACTGCAGAACATTGCGGAACGCTTCAGAAAGACTAGGTTCCGAAAGCCACCCTGAAATTGGATGCCGTTCAGATTCTTGACTCAGACCCACCGTGGTGCAAACCCCATTTAAAGCCAGGGACGGGGTGGCTGAGTGACCCCGCACCGAGAAGCTTCGGACGAACTTGCAACTCACACTCTGACTGGAACTGGTGACCTGAACTTATTATAGCCCTTGATCTCAAGTTCAATTCGGAGGCTGCTACTCCCGGGCTCAAAGCTGCACAGGCCGCGGTGGTTGCACTGCCTTGACGAGTCTCAACTAACTTGTTCAGGGGATTTGGGAGAGTTCGAAGACTGTAGTGATGTACAGCAGGCGAAACGCAAGTCCGCCTTCAGTGTACGGATTCTACCTGTAGCGGCAGATCACATTCCTCACCTGTGCAAAGGTGAAAGCAACATCTCCAGAGCCCAGATACCCGCACACCTTTCACAAAAGGACCGAAACTCCATCATCCAAAAATGAGGGCTAACCGGCTGCAGTGGCCTGAATTGCGGAGCATGTCAGAATGCTGAAACCCTCCGCAAAGTCCGTGACGAATTTTTATATGAGACGTTGTTTCCGCAGGCGGCAGGCAATCCTGTGCCGAGGCCACTCATATGTTGCGCTGTTTGTTGGAATATTGGATGCAAGGGCAGTTACAGTTGCGGACCTGTGATATGCAAAGTAATTGCACAAACGAGCCCCTGGCGCATCGATTGGCAGGTGCTAAGACGTGCTAGGACATGTTTGTTTTTCCCATCGCCGCCAATTGCATGCTCAAGCGTTGTTTGTCTGCAGCTGCGGGCAACTATGTGTCTCTTGGGTCGTTGAGGAAGCGCAAGGCGCTGGAGGCAAGAAGAGACATGCTGCTCCACCATGTGATCATTCATGCAATCCCTAGACGTGTCAGAAAGTTGGCAGATTGGAGCTGTGAGGACGGCAGCCACGCCTTATTATGGAAAGCCTCGATGGCAGCCCTTGGCCAAGACTTGTCACATAGCAGGAGGAGAAGCTTTCTGTGGTTTCCAGTAGATCTGGTGTGTTTCTGTGTCGATCGGAGTGGCTGAAGGGGGAGCTGATGTGGAGCTGATGACATCCTGAGGCCTGGCTGTTTCCCCTCGCAGCACAGCGTACGATGATTGTGATGACGAGGCAGGGCTAGAAGGGGCTGAATGACTTGCATGATGTTTCAACAGATTATCTTGCAGTATGGTGCAGTCTGGCCACGCGGTAAGGATAAAGATTAATGGCCTGCAAACAGGCTATCATGGCGTCCTGCTTATCCTCCCCACGCGAAGATGCAGGAGGCGGACCCAAAGCATCACCGTGTTGACAAGCAAAGCTTTGGTTAACAATGTTGGGGATGCCATGCCTGCTTCACCTGTAGACCATTCATCAGCCGCTGCAAGCAACATCAGAATTGATGTTTGTCCGCGTGAAAGGCAACCTCCCGCTATACCTTTCTGGAGAGCACTTCCTCGGTTCTGGAGTAACTCCACTGCGGCAAGATCAGGCGCAGGCCGCGGCATTGTTTGCTGGCTAATGAGCTCTGAACTGCTGGTTCATCATAAGCAAGAAGAGCAAATCCGCAGAAGTGATGTGTGACCACTCTTGTTGTTGCTGTGGATGATGGTGTGCTGTGAGGAAGTAATGAAATTTCACCTACAAGCAGGATTTCTGAACACCAGCTGCTGGAGTAGCTTGCTTGGGGGGTCAGGGGGCCTGAATAAGTAGGGTTAGTGTATGTATGGGTTAAAGGGGTTACTAACCTACTTGCTAACTCCCTCATGACCCTCCAAGTACTACAGTCTCAGATCTTTCCGAGATCTTACATATCTCTCACAAGATATAATGTGAAGCTCACAAACATGCGCTGCCAAAGTTGTCAAGTCTTTTTTTTGGAGTCAGCATGTCAGGAAGCACTACTAGCAAAACTACTTCTCAGCAAGACCAGTATTGAAAAAGGGCGCGAGTTTCATCAAAGACCAGCTAATATCCGTTCTTGATGTATCCCTTCAATCCCCTCGCAGTGGAAAAGGTCAAGCAGAGTGGAAACAAGCAAGATGTCTTGTAGTCCAAGGTTACTGCCCAGATCCTGTCCTGTCTGCGTCCATACACTGGGGACTGGAAGCTGCAGTGACGAGGAGCTGCTCAAGACGCTCATGCGTACTCCTTCGATAGCTGTTAACCCCGCTTATGCGGGACCCTCAGCTGATACCCTACTGCAGGCTAGAGGCACTATTGCTGTATGTCTTGATTGTACTGTGAGCCAGTCGCAAGAACGCTAGCTCACAGAGTGCTCCAGGTCGCCAAGCTGAAAGGCTCCACACTGTGCACCGAATCAGGACTGCAGTAGTCTCAAAGCTCTGGTTTGCCACTGTTCTGTTGGATCACGGGCAAATTTCTGCGAGGACGCAGTGACGTCACTGTTCAGCTGCTTCTGTCCTCTCTGACAATCTCGCCCAAGGCCGCACATGTTTCATAACGGTCCTAGCAGAGACAGAAAAGTCACCGCATGCTGTGTGCTAGTTCTCGTAATATCTGGTTTCTTTGGCGCCGAAGGCGAATGCCAGGGGGCAGCTTGCAATCGTCATTCGGGAGCATGGCAGAGAGCTCATCCAAAGCTGGCCCAAAGCCAGTATGGGCTGCTTGCAGCAGAGAACTTTATGTCTTCAGTTCCCAGATTCGCCCAGGTGACATCTCCAGCATCAGCAGGCCTGGCAGATGATTGCACGAAGGACTTGGGGTGGCCCCGTTCCAGCACAGGTGCTGGCTGTTCCAGCTAGACTCCAGACGGGGCATCCTTGCTGGCATCATTGATAAGTTGTGCGCAGCAGGCAGGTGTCCATCTACCTTCTACCGATGTCATGTAAGCATCAGAAAACAATCATTTTGAAAGCCTTGCATGATGACAACCACTCAGCAGAGGGAAGTCAGTTCGAAGGTGCCGTGCTGGACAACTTAGTGGATCCCGTCAAGCATCTGCAAGTTGCTTGTCCCGGAATGATGTGCATGGGGTTATATAGGGATATATTGGGGTTATATGGGGATAATGGAAAATAAAATAGAAACTACTATTTTGTGCCTCTAAGGCCACGGGTTCTGACTCTTGTCAGGTTAGCGAGACCGACAGGGCTGTGGTCTACGCTACGCCGCTGGTGCCGCTCTTGCAGGCCGCTGTTTGCTGCTGTAAGCACTTCGCACTGTAGACTTGTCACAAGCTGCAGCCTACCCTCACCCTACTGACCCTATGCTAATTATTCTCACCCCGATGTTCTGAATCGATCTCTCACTTTGGAGAGCGGTGCAGGATGGATTTGACAACAGCCGGGCTGCAGAGAAGACCTTCAGCGCAGTCCTGAGAAAGCAAGCAGAGGATCATGGCCAAAGAACAACGAGTAGGTCGTGACTAGGTTGACACTATTGAGCCATCTCACCTGGAATGTGGCGCTTCAGGGATTGCTTGCGTCGCTGTCTTGGCTCTTTGAGGTGATCCATCTCTGGAACCCAGTTCACCATCTCTTTTAGCTTCTGTAGGCGCGCTGCTTCCTTGGAGAGCTGTGGCGCCTGGAAGAGCTCCTGTCGCTGAGCTCCTGTCAGTGTGAACAGGTCAAACCCAGCTGAGGGCTGTCAAGCTTTTCAAGGCACAACTGCTTCAAACCAGAACTTGATGCGATTTGAGTGTTTTCTTAATTTCGTAGGCGCTGGAGGCGCTTGAGGGAGGCTGGGTTTGTGCTATTGGATACTGGGTTTTTTCACATGAACATGATACGCTGGAGGACAGATGACTGGAAACCTACCTCCCAAGGTGAGATGGCTGTGTGCAAGTATATGAAAGATTCCATGTGGAAATGAGAGGGATGAGGATTCAGCCCTGAAGCCTTTGAGGATGTGGTCAAGGAGCTCAAGATGATGGTCCTGGCCCAGAAGCACAAATCCATCATTAGGTTGCCACCCAGCTGCGACTGGTGGAGCTTTTCCAAATCTGAGCCCCTGCCTGGCCATCAGGGCTATTGGAGTGAATCTGAATGATGATCTTGGACACAGTGTGATACAGTCTAAGCACTCCAAAGATCCCACGAGGGCAAACACCCTGGCCTCCATGGGTTGCAAGGAGAACTTGGCTGCCCAGGAGTGTCCTTTTTGGAATGTGGGGCCCATTTGAGCATACCAGCAAGCTTCCAAGCACCTCAGTGCACATGACTCTGCAAGCTGAGGCATGCTCTTTCCAGGGTTCCTACTGGATGGGCACTGCTGACAGACTGGTGCGCTGGCGGCTCTTTGCAACCTGCCTTCAAGCTTTCACAGGAGAAGAGGGCAAGAGGCATCCGTACCACTGCAAAGCCACCGCTTTTTTCGACCTAAAGTGTTCACTGTGCTTTCTGTGCTTTGGAGCTAAGAAAGCAAGATTGCGCAAGTACAGCCCAGATGCGCTATTCTTGTTGTGAAGAACATTGGAAAGTGTTCGCAACAATTCAACAAATACACCGTGCATACAGCCACGGTTCTTTGCTCTTGATTGTTTGGTGTTGCTGAATCTGGGGGTCCGTGCCCTTGACCAGCATATTCGGAAGCTAGACAGGCCGCTAGCACAGTTGGCACGCAGATACAGAGAGCGAGGTTCCTGATGTCTTGTTGCCCCTCTGGCAGTTTCCCTTAACAAGGGGACCCCAATATAAACACCACAATACTATAGTCCTCATGATGGGGACCCGCCCAAAAAAGTATTCGTAATTTTGGGAAACCCTAACCGCCCTAACCCCTATATATCCCTATATACCCCTGGAAAACCCCTTTGAACCCCTTAACCCTGAGCCCCAAATCCAAAACCCTAAATCCTAAACCCCTAACCCCTTTAAAGGTACCCCTAGGTTGGGGAACCCCGAAACCCTAAACCTCTAAATAGCCCAATAAAAAAAACCCTCTCTGAGGCTGCACCATCTGGCGGCTGATGGTCGGCAGCCTGAGGGCCAAGCCATGCTGCTGCAAAGGCAGTGGTACTTTCCCCAAATTTCCCCCAATATAGGGTTTAGGATTTATAGAGTTTAGGATTTAGGGTTTAGGATTTAGGGTGTATTTATAGGATTTAGGTTTTAGGGAATCGTACTTTGCCCAATGTAGGCCCCAACATGTGTTTTTTAGTGATTTTGAAGGGGTGTATAGGGATGGGGGTCCATAGAATGTGGATCATAATATTTTGGGGTCTATATGGGGGTCCCCCTATTTTGGGAAGCTACCAAAGAGAGCTCAAAATGGGGTTTAGGGCTTAAGGTTTAGGCGGATCCCAATATAGACCCCCAAATAATACTACAGTCCTAAAAGGTACCCCTAATGCTGGGAAACCCCCAGTACTGCCGGCGCTGAATCTAGGTACTGGGGGTTTCTTGGGGCCGTCCTTGTTTCAGATTACGGTATATGGAGGGTCCATGTGGAACTCCCATGTGTGAAGAATCCCAAAATAAGAGGTACAACAATTGTTATAGAACCCTATAAGATAGTAGTTTCCATTATCCCTATATAACACCTATATACCCCCTATATGGGGGGCCATTGCAATGGACCACAAAAAGCCCATGGCACGAAAGGCAGCTTCTGGTCGGCCTGGCGCACCTCCACCAGCGAGGTCTTCCAGAAATGTATTCAAAGAAGGGATAGCTCAATGTCATGTAGGGATTGGGGATTCCTGTATGGTTCGGAGAGTAGGTGTCAGGGTTAAGGGTTTAGTGAAGTGGACCTGTAGTGGTAGGACCTGGTAAGAGCAAACTTCAAAAGTCTACTGCCAGGAATTGTCCACAGAGACGTGAAGCTTGCCGCTTGCCCAAACTTCAGCACCTTAACATGCTCTTGCTGGCTTTACGTTAAGGCGGTCATGCTATGTTTTGGCCTGAGGAGCACATCCTGCTTCGCTCTGCGAACAAGCTGGTGCTATCTGGTTTTGGTCTTGCCGCACCCATTTCAGAAGCGCGTGAAGCCACGGAACCAGCCGGGTAGCCCAGGAAAATCTGCCTAGTCAGTGAGGTGGTCCTCTGGGGGGGACTGGACTTGAGGAGCACCTTGTGGTTTCTTGACACATGGTGTGATATGCAGGTGGGAACGGTCGGCTACATGGCACCGGAGGCTGGAAGAGCTTTTTGTTGATCAGGCTAGGAGGCATGACTAGGACTACAGTGCAAAGGGGCGCTGGACGGCTGCCTGGAGTCCTTGGGCCATCCTGAGAAAAATCTCACGTCAGCGGTCATTAGCTAGCTGAGGCTAAGTAAGATTGCACGGTGCTATGATGCCCAGCGGTCACTACCCTTCAGAAGCTTCGACGTTTCATTTGGAGGTCATTCGATACACCCCGGCTTTAGAACCTGCCGACGTTTTTGCAGCAGGCGCGACTTGTGCGTGGCAGCGAGAGCTGAAGAACTCATTTGAGTGGTGCATGGCTCTTTGGGCTTTGCCCTCGGCTTGAACTCACACACGGGAGCAGTTCTTGGGATCAGTAGCTGATGCACGCTCTCCCATGCAATGCCGTGTATTGTTCACAGCCTGAAGGTGTTGAATTCCTGCAGGTGTGGTGCTCTACACCATGCTGCTTGGTCGCCAGCCTTTTGGCCGGGAAACCCCTGCCGAGGAGACCAAGTACAGGACAACTTGCACAGAGGCGACGCCCAACCGCTGTCTCAACGCATGATTCTGCACAGATCATATCGAGGCATGTGTTCTTATGTGCATTTTCAAGCTGAGTGGCTTTTGCCGTTTGGATGTTCAACCATCGTGAAGCATGAGCCTCGAAAAGGCAGACTACTCTGGCCTCATATTTCAGATTCTTGGCAGCCATTGAGTCGCTAAATGTCGTCACGTGCTGCCCTGGAGGCAGCATGATGCGATTGTCAACCTGTTCAGAAGTGGCACATGTAGTCTTAAATATCCAAGAACGGTAGCCACTCAAGGGCCCCGCTCCCCCATGCTACAGTATGCGAGTGAGAGTGTGTCGTGCTGTTGCCTGTTGTCAACTCCTTTAGCTGAAGGTTGTGGAAGCCATGAACCTACACGCTTCTGATGTGGTTAGCCTGTCCACTGCGTGGAAAGTCATGTCAGACAGTCAGACTCTTTTTTCTTGATCCTCGCTCTTTTGCAGTGCGCAAGTCTGCATCACGCAAGGAACGCCTCTGGCCTTTGCCACCGGCTGCTGCAAGCCCTTCTCGAGAAAGATCCTTTAGAGCGGCCGACATCTCTCGGAGCAAGTGAGGCGAGAATGTATGTTGGTGCATTTGGGAGCATAAACGTTACGTTATGTTATGTGCGGCACAGACACCATGCACTAGTGGAAGCACACCCGGCGCAGGACGACTGGTTTGTGATGGACCATACCAAGCAAGCTCGAGCAAGCCGTGAGGCGCGCAGATAAACTCAAAAGAGAATGTCTTCACCCAGCACGTTGCACGTTGCGCTTCCGTAAACGCGCATGTCAGTTTCTAAAGACCTTAGCATGCGCTTAGAATTAAGGGCACATGCTACTCGAGCATCAATACCGTCTTTTGCCAGCGGTGCAGGCGCCGTCGCCGCTCTCTCAAGATGGTGGCCTGGGTGCCTGTGACAGAAATGCTGCCTTGGCAGTAGAGTAGAGACTGGAAGCGCCCCTTTACCACGCACGTCCTGATGGCTTCTACAGTTCTAGATTAAAGAAGGTTCATCAGAGGCTGCCAGGCCAGATGGTTTGCCAGGCGGCTGGTGTGAGCGGTTGTGTAGGCAGTGTAGGCTTGCATCAGGCTGTTTAGCGTGCAGACAATTTCAGAATAGATCAGCGCTGCAATTCATGAAGCTTCGGCACAAGGTGCAACCCGGAGGAAATCTGGCTTGGCATCTTTCTGGAGAAGGCAGTCAGTCTTCGGCACAAACATATGCTGAGCTTGCGATATCAAGTCCTGTTGGCAGGCCGACACGTTCTGCATCAGCTCGGCCGAGAAGGCGGCAAGTGGGGCGGTGCTCCATAATGTGTTGTAGGTCTGGGCCAGATATGCTTCATATGCCATATGCTTTACGTACAAGCTTTTGCTATGGTGCATATGAAGGTGGCGCTGGCTCCAATTGCCTGCAACACATGAGCCTAATAGGAAAGGGAAATCATTAAGCAAGAAGGACAACAAGTTAATTTCAGACTGAACCTGGAATTCCAGGACTTAGACAATCAGAAGCCCTGCTGAGGAAACAGAGCGCTGCATCTGGCGCATCTGAGGAGCCCTCCTGTGCTTCACTACTTCATTGCCACATCAAATTTGTGGTGAAGGGCGCTGGGCTAGCGGGAGTCTGTGCACATGTTCTTAGATTCTGTAGCGAAGGACTCGCCGTCGCCAGCAGAGTCACTGCCGGCCTCCTTCGTGCAGGTGAGAGCTGCTTAGTGTCCACTACCGCATCTTTAAGCGGAGTCTGGGACGATTGATCACAGCCTGATCCTCTTGGGTTATTCAACAATTGCTTGATTCCGAGTAGTGTAGCTGTCGTGATCAAGCACTCTCAAGGGCACGTTAGACTACATGCCCGCATGTCACTCATGACTCAGCAGCAGCCATGACGCCAGGGCGAAGTGCGGCCCAGAAAGTCCTCCTGCGGGATGACACGGTTACGTGCTTGGCTTCCCTTCAGGCTGGTTGAAGCTTTCGTTGGTGCAGGGATACTTTCGTCATCAAACTACAGAGTCATCATATAGCAGGCTTAATTAAGTCTTCCAACTGTTTGTCAATGAGTTGCCATCAGCAGGAAGCGGGACGACATGCTGGACTGCACGCAGCTCAGCGCCGTAGTGCAGAGGCACACCTATCCATCATGCGAGAGGATATGATTTGTGTGAAGCGTCCTGCTTGTCCAGTTACATACTTGGGTGCTATTTACATACATAAGGGGGCTTCCATAAATAAGGGCCCCAACATGGACCCCGGCATATTATAATCCTTTCTCTAATGATTCTCAAGGAGGTGCACCTAATTTTGGAAGCCCCATCCATGCGCCCATCCATCCATGCAAACCAAACAGTCATTAAGCAGTGTCAGACCAGGCGCAGACAGGGCTCTCCTCTGAAATCTTGGCAGGTGAGCCTTCGCCAGACATTGAGTGCTCTCCTTTCAGAGCTCCTTGGCGCACAAAGTCTTCCAAAGAATCCAGTCTCCACATGGGACTGTTGGACTTCTATCCATGCACCACTTCCCCAGGAGCTGAGCAGAGAGACCACCAGTGTGAGCTCTTTCTCAAATGCCCGGGCCAGGGCATGCATGCAAGCTCCAACGGTGGCAAGCGGCTGGACGCCGCCAAAATTTGCAAAGCTTTTCCAACTGAGTCCCAGTATTGATCATCAGCTAGCGCAGCTGAATGTCAAAGCAGCTCATTTCAATATGAGTGGGCAAATCTTTCAAATTCTTCCAGGCAATCAAGAGTCTGCATCCCAGCTTTCCAGATGTCCAGATGGGTTAGCTGCATCAATGTTGTCAGAGGCAGTGCATGGGCAGATAGAATCCTGCGCCCTGGAAAGCTGGGATCGGCGGCATCGGTTTATTTACAGGCCGTTGAAACGTTCCTTCATCATTCTAGTCCGGCTCACAGCTCTCCATAGAGACCAGCCAAGTGAGCTGAAGGACTCGTTTTGTCACACTCCGACGCGCATAAGCGTAGGATACCCTCGGGTGCTGCACCTGTGTCAGATGGTAAGGCCCGCGGCAGTGACCTCGCCCTTGCTATCTTGAAAGGTTGTCCGGCCCGCTTCCATGTCCCGTTATGATTTGTTTGTTGACTCTATCTGTCCAATGGACAGATGATGTCTTCTGCATTTCAGAGCTTTTAACTGCTCTCTTTCTCTCGCAGTCTCAGCATAATCTAAGCATTGGCTGCTTGGCTCTTGCACATTTTCAACTGCCCAACCTAGGGTTGGCGCGGCCTGTAGCAGAGCCAGCTGTGGAATGCTATGCTGCTATTTGCCTCGCTGTGGCCGGGCAGCTCACGCAAGTTTTTACTTGGACCTAAATGAGCCATAGTCTAAACTCCAGAAAAAGGGGTTATACAAGGGATTGTGTAGGGGAATCTCATAGGGTTAAGGGGCATACTAGGAGTTTAGACTATAGCTCAAATACAGACCGGAGGTAGCTGCGTGCCCGGCCTCAGCTTGCCGTTTCAGACCTGGCGACGACAGGGCTGGTTTGCAGAAGCAAGTGATCTCTGGAACAACTAGGAACAACTGCAACAGAAAAGGAACTCGTAAGTACAGGCGCAAAAATCTGCCCAGCCTGTTCGCTTGACAGCCTGAGTCATTGTCCAGATTGTTTTTCTTATCCTCTGGTCTGTTCTCTCTGAAGAGGAGCTGCGCAGCAAAAAACAAACACGTCAACTGCAGCCTCACCACTCGAACCGGCACTGCGCCATACTGTGTCATAGCTACATGTTGCCACGAGCGCAGTTCAAGCTGCAAGGTGGAGCCGCACGTTTTGCTTGTGCAGATCGTGGTGCAGCCTCACAGCGGGTGACCTTACAGGCAGTAGTTTAAACGGACACTCTGCATGGACCAGCTTGCCTCATTTCCGATTCTTTTGATCCCCTGACCTTTGGGTGAACGAAATGCAACAAGTGCTGTAGTTAGTGCCTGCTCAACAGAGGTGAGCTGAAAGGTGAGGCGTTTAGGGCATTGGAGTTTAGATTTGAGATTTTTTGGCTGCAACGGAATTGCATCCGATACATTTTAAAATCGTTGCAAGCTCCAAGCTTTGTGCTCCAGTATGTGTGATTATGCAGGCTGACAACCGGGCGAGGTTTCTGACCATTGAATCTCCCCGTCGGATCAAGCAAGAACTGCCGCTCGGAAATTCATGCCTTACTTGACCTTTTGGCAAGCGCTGCTCGGGCAAGAAGTCAACGAGAACGTCAGCTGTGTCAGATGCAACCGCATTGTATTGGAAAAGCCGAAATCAGGAACAGTCGTCAAACATGGAAATGTCGCGCATAGAGCCAGGCGCACGAGGGCACAAGTCGGAACACAAACCCTGCGCTGCCTACTCGTGGACCTCCTGTTTCCAACTCACCCCCTTGTTTTGGCTGACTTAGGCCTCTCAACCAACCCTTGACACAATGGCAGCTGGTGACAAGTGATTCCGGCTTACCAGTCGACACCGTCAAGGAAAATCAAATCCGCGCAGGTGAAAACACGGCTGTGGGAGATTCACGCTGGCCATGCTCCAAGATGGGCAGAGATCTCAGCCTGAAGGTAACGTCTTCCTGTAGCATGAGGCTGCCCTGGGATATTGCGAATGACCGCCACTCCAAAGCCTGCACTGTCAGGTGCACACGACGGACACACAGGCTGGTCTCCCTGCCCTGATACCATCAGGATTCTCCTACTGGACGAAAGCTTTAAGTGCTGCCCTTGGAGAGCATAATGAATAATGCTCACATATGCTCACATTACCCAAGCAGGCCATCCGTGACAACGTCGAGAACTATGCACTAATGGCCTTGAGCAGGCCCTGGCATGCTGACATTGGCTTCAGTAGGCTATAGTAGGCTCAGCTGCAGTGCGCTTGGGAAAAGCCCTTGTTTGAAGGACTGCGATGCCAGGTTGCATGTCCCTTTTGGGCACCACTAGCGTGCAAATGACTGGGCTTCACCGAAGAAAGTCGCGTAGAACATAACAGCTTCACCATGGTGGGACGCCTAGCGTGTGTTGACGTTATTTCCTGTCCCTGGTAGCTCGTCGCCAGCGGCATCGACGACTTTCGATGCAAGCGCAGAGTTCCTGCTTGGCTAGGGCCTCATTGTGCAGGAAGAGTGGCTGGCCAAAGATTCACACAGTGCATGCTTGCTGTTGGCTTTTAACAAGCTTGCTGTCAAGAAGCTCTGGGGTAGACTTGCGTGTCAGGTGGCGCTAGCATCCTGAATCGTGATGTTAGTGGTGATGGCGAACAGAGCGTCCTCGCCTCAACTCCTGAGCAGCTTTAGCGCGTGTTCTCACATGCCGCTATGCAGTCAGTGGCATGGCCAACACCCAAGCTGAAGCCGCCGCACAACTTGTGCCTGGAACAAGGTTCTCACTGATCGTGGCGAGGAAGTTGGCCAATTTCTTGCCACCCTCAGGCCGCAAAAATGTTGATCGCCTATGGAATTTTGCGTCGAGCTAGCTTGCGGCAAGCCCGCTATGACAAGTTGTAATGATACCGTCATACACTTTGTCGAGTTGGTTCGGAAAGAAGGTCAGGCAGCCGTGGTCTTCTCTTCCACAGCTGGCAGCTGCAGTTCAGTTTGCGCTGCTGAAGCCCACAGCATCATGCGATGATATACAGGGATGTCATTTAGGTCCAAAGTAGGCTGTCAGGCTCCGGCTTGACCACAGCAGGCAATTTATGGTCAAACATGCCTTAATGCAGACCTGTGTCCTGCCCTTCATTCATCCCAGGAAAGACCTTGACTCAACTCTGCTTGTCCTGCCGCATTGAAGCTGCTGACACTTGCAGCAACCAAACCGTGTTCTAGACATATATGAACTGTTGTGCCTGCAAGGCTTCCGCCCGATGAGGCACAGGCAGGTACCTGAATGTGGTGTTTTCCTGCTATTCACTTATGTGAAGCAGCTGGTATGCTGAGATCACACCACAGGCTCCTCTGCAGAACTCGCCTATCGTCAACGTGGCGGCCTCAAAGAGACGTGCGATGCTTGATGTTTTCCGCGCGTGTCCTGGCAGCTACGATAGACTCTGCTCCTGGATCAGATCAAATGTGTCACATACTCCTCTCCTTTCTGACTGGATCGCTCATCCTTCAAGAACACTCCCGAGTTGGCGGGCCTCACTGTTTTAGTTGTGGCTTGAATCTTGCTGCGAGCGAAGTCAGTCGAAGGCGATGTCGCACCCTTCTAAGTCGATTTTCGCGGCAGTGCACGAGGCGATCGGCGATTGAAGCATGTTGCCCCCAAAACTTGAGAGCTGCCTTGCCGACAGGACGGTTCGGTACAACTCTGGGCATTTGGACAGAGACAGCCGCTGCAGCAACTGCCAGGTCCCCGAGTTTGGGCGTCAAGCTTCATCCTGCCTGTACGCAACAAACTCAATCCTCCAACAAGACAATGTCGTGGGATTGCCTGTAGCTACAAGATAGGGGTGGCAAGGAGCATCTGGTTGTGCTGAAAAACCACGTATACCATGGCAATCACCTCACCCACCACGTCCATCCCAGATCCAAGACATTGCTGGTGCTGATGAGAGGTTTCAGTTTGCGATGCCGGCTCTTACAGGCATGCCAGTACCCCACCAACACGTCGGAAAATCCGTGGGCAAGCCACAAACGACAGCCTCAACCAAGCTCAGGCCTCGGGTGTTGGCTCCTGCCATCACCCAAGAATGGTGACATCCGGGCTTGGTTCCACTGTCTCCATGCTGCTCTCCACAAGATTTGTTTTTGCGCAAGCTGTGACAACCGAGTGACATCTGGTTCTGCATGCTGAAATGCCTTTGTCTGTCTGAAGGCCAAGACTTCACCGAGCCGCCCAGGCGATGAGACCTTGTGTAGTGCTTGACTGGTTCTTGTGAAGAATAGCCATCTACCAAAGCTTGTGCACTTGTGTAGATCATTCTCTCTCTGGGCGGCTTTTGACCAAAAATACACATACACATTTCATGACGGGGAGCATTTTGATGGTGACAGCCATGCCAGCTGTCTGGTCCAACCATCGTCTTGCGCGCACACGAGGGAGCTAGCCCTTACATAGCATGACCTTTTTTGCACAAACCCATCTTTAACGCCACCTTCAGGTGCTTCTGAAGATGCGGCGAACGAGGCTGATTATGCTGGGCCTTGTGTTCTGTCAGACATGCTGATTCCTTTATCCCGAGCCATAGTCAAAAAGCGCGCTGTACACGCGGAATACCAGATCCAGCATTGAAGTTCGATAGAGTTGCTATAGCCAGGCTTGTCAGGGCAAAGGTATGGAGGGGTTTCGATGGAGGGCTCATAATTCCGAATAATGGCAACCTGTCTCTTGCAAGACTTCCATAGTCGCTCGGCTTCGGCTATAGCTCATGGGGCAGTCATGTGCTTTCGAATGCAGACTGGCGGAGTCGCGGGCGGCCCTTGGATTCTTGTCCGAAGCCCAGCGACAAGAGTCCAAGCAACGTAAATACTTGTTGCATTTTTGCTGTCTCTACTACTTCTCTGCCTCCTGTTTCTTCTGCGATAGTGGAGGCCAACTACCACTACCCCTGCCATTGTTTCCTTCTGTGTGATGGTGATGAGTTTGATGATTATAGCATGGGCTACAGGTGTGATGTGAATTCCTGTGCCTAAGACCCTTTGAGCCCTTTTCCCCAAAAACAGTTGCAGAAATGTCTTGCATTGTCTTGCAAATGTTCTGTGGGCTGACAGGCACCCCGTCCCGAGGTTCTCTCACATTGTCGTGCAGCATTATACCTTTCTCTTGTACTTTTGGGTGCCCAATTCTGCATAAATCCCAGTTTTGGGTGTGTTGGCAGAGCTGAGAGGACTGGAGTCTTGGCGGGAGCCGGCTGCTTGCCGCTGCTTTGATGACATTAGTGTTGTTTTCTTTTTGCAGTACTCGGCAGTCAGCGTCACAAGAAGCCAGGAGATTTGTTGTACATCATGTATATCTGTCAGGGAGGAAGGCCACCCCAAATCTTGTCGAATTTTCTAGCAATGTTGGTCCTCAAGTATCCTGCCATGCCTTGATAGAACTTGAGCAGATTGCAAGCGAGACGTGTAAAAAGGGCAGATTTGTACGTCTAGGCTCCTGTCGACCTGTCACTGCTTCTTGCGAAGGTGACCTCGTCCACCTCTCTCTCATGGCCTTGAGGGTTTCCTAAAGTTTGGGATACCTTTTTGGGGGTCTCCATAAT